GGTCACGGGAGGGACAGCAAGAGGGGGGACCCGACCGGTTCATGGTGACTGACACTTCTCTGAAACAGGAGGGACCAGGCATTGTCGGTCCGTAACTCATCACCCAATCTCACTTTTTCACCTCTCCATCGTTTGTCCGGCCAGGGAGCCTGCAAACAGTAGGCGCTCATTATGCGCTGATTGTATTCAAAGGCGGACAGCCATGAAACTAGGCAATGAAAGGAGTCAGGATTATGGCCATCGTGGGGGGGCAGAGATCAGAGAAGACTTCCTGGAGGAGGAGGTGCCAAGTCTTAAAGGATGGAGAGGAGTGAGCCCTGGGAGGGGAAAGGGAAAGAAAGGCAGGGGCCTTAGGGTGTGGGAGGGAATGGCATGAGCAAAGGCTGGGAGGTGGGGAAGGGTTGTTAATGTCAGTCTCTAGAAAGGCTGGGATGAGCAGGGGATTGGGGAGGAGAGAGAGGGAGGGGAAGGGAACCCTTGTGTTGAATGAATGAATGAATGAATGAATGAATGAATGAATGAATGGCTTTGAAGCACAGGTGCATCATGGCTACTTTGCTTCTTTGAAAGCTGTGGTGATGGGAACACTGTGGATTTCCCCTGCCTGAAAGGCTCAGTGTAGGGCTGTTACAGTATAATAGGCCTGGCGCCATGGCTCACGCCTGCGATCCCAACACTTTGGGAGGCTGAGGCGGGTGGATCACCTGAGGTCGGGAGTTCGAGACCAGCCTGACCAACATGGAGAAACCCGTCTCTACTAAAAAATACAAAATTAGCTGGTCATGGTGGCGCATGCCTGTAATCCCAGCTACTCGGGAGGCCGAGGCAGGAGAATCGCTTGAACCTCGGAGGCAGAGGTTGCAGTGAGCCAAGATCACGCCATTGCACTCCAGCCTGGGCAACAAGAGCGAAACTCTGTCTCAAAAAAAAAAAAAAAAAAAGGCCAGGCGCGGTGGCTCACGCCTGTAATCCCAGCACTTTGGGAGGCCAAAGCGGGCGGATCACGAGGTCAGGAGACTAAGACCATCCTGGCTAACATGGTGAAACCCCATCTCTACTAAAAATACAAAACAACAACAACAACAATTAGCCAGGCATAGTGGCAGGCGCCTGTAGTCCCAGCTACTCAGGAGGCTGAGGCAGGAGAATGGCGTAAACCCGGGAGGCAGAGCTTGCAGTGAGCCAAGATCGCGCCACTGCACTCCAGCCTGGGCAATAGAGCAAGACTCCGTCTCAAAAACAAAACAAAAAACAAAAAAACCCAGAGGATAGTAAAATATGTATCATAGTCTACATTTATACATATAAAAGTATGATAAAAATGATAGCAGAGGGGCCGGGTGCGGTGGCTTACGCCTGTAATCCCAGCACTTTGGGAGGTTGAGGCGGGCAGATCACTTGAGGTCAGGAGCTCGAGATTAGCCTGGCCAACATAGTGAAACCCCGTCTCTACTAAAAATACAAAAAATTAGCTGGGCGTGGTGGTGCATGCTTGTAATCCCAGCTACTTGGGAGGCTAAGGCAGAAGAATCACTTGAACCTGGGAGGTGGAGGTTGCAGTCAGCCGAGATCACGCCATTGCACTCCAGCCTGGGCGACAAGAGTGAAACTCCATCTCAAAAATATAATAATAACAATAGCAGAGGGTAGCATTCATTGAGTATTTCCCATATGGCAAGACTCCAGGAATTGATTTATTTCATCGCCACAGTGACCCCAGGAGACAGGTCCTGTTATTTATCCCCATTTCACAGACAAACTGAGGATGAAGTCACTTGCCAGGTTCACGAAGCAAGCAGGTGGCAGCTGCGATTTGAACCCTGGCCACCTGGAGTCAGAGCCTGGGCTCTAACATGCCTGTCAGTGGGAACCCAGGAGGCAGGGAGTGGCTTGTCTAAGTCCCCACAGCTGGAAGTGATAGAGCTGGGATTCGAACCCACATCTCTCAGTCCAGATCCCCACCACTTAGCCAAGCACAACGTGGCCTCAAAGGGGCGATGTTGTCACAACACCAACAAGCATGTGGCATTTGCAGGCAGGAAGTGAGTATGGGGGTCAGGCTGGCCTCACTCAGGCAAGCCCTCCCCTAAGCCTCAGTTTCCCCATCGGAGCAATAAGGTAACAGGTGTGCCCACCTCTCAGGGCTGCTATGAGGACAACTGAGGCCACACACCTGGCTCTCAATATGTGGGCAGTGCTCTGTGAGCTCCTGGCGGGCTAGGGGCACCCTATTCTCCTTGTGGCCGGGGCCCTCCCAACACAGCAAACAGGTGGAAAAGAGGCCTGAGCCCCATCCCAGTTTCTGCCCCTGCTATCTCCACCCAGGATCCACCAGAAGATATGAAACAGGACCGGGACATTCAGGTGAGTTGGTGGCTAGGGCTTGAGATGGGGAAGTGGGGAGGGGGACATCTGCAGGTACGGAAGGATGTCCATTAGGGCAGGAGGGGGATATTCACTGGGGCAGGAGGAGGACTCATCTGTAGGGAGAGGAAGGCTGATGCTTATGCTGGTGCAGAAGGGGTGACCCCCCTCCACCTCATCCCCACCTGCCCCATTCCACAGGCAGTGGCGACCTCCCTCCTGCCGCTGACACAAGCCAACCTACGCATGTTTCAACGTGCCCAGGACGACCTTATCCCTGCTGTGGACCGGCAGTTTGCCTGCTCCTCCTGCGACCACGTCTGGTGGCGCCGCGTGCCCCAGAGGAAGGAGGTAGTGACCCACAACTTAACCTTGACTTTGACTGTCCCGAACTCCACTCCTGACTCCCATCCTCAGTGACTGTACCTCTGACCTAAGGATTTCCATCACTGACCTCCAAACTCAGAGCTCAGCCTTCATCTCTGATCCCAACCCCTGACCTTAAATGTGAGAAGCCCAATACCTCCTTACCCCAGAGCCTGACCCTTGACCCCACAATTGAACAGCTACTACAGAAATCAAACCTGGCCAGGCGCAGTGGCTCATGGCTGCAATCTCAGTGCTTTGGGAGGCTAAGTGGGGAGGATTGCTTGAACCTAGGAGTTTGAGACCAGCCTGGGTGACAGGGTGAGACCCTGGCTCCAAAAAAATTTTTGTTTTGAAGAGATGGGGTCTCGCCCTGTCGCCCAGGCTGGAGTACAGTGGCGGGATCATAGCTCACTGCAGCCTCCACCTTCTGGGCTCAGATGATCCTCCCCACTCAGCCTCCCAAGTAACTAAGACTACAGGCCTGCGCCACCACACTTGGCTAATTTTTGTATTTTGTGTGTGTGTGTGGAGATGGGGTTTTGCCATGTTGCCCAAGCTGGTCTCAAACTCCTGAGCTCAAGCAATCTACCGCCTCAGCCTCCCAAAGTGCTGGGATTACAGGCATGAGCCACTGCGTCTGGCAAAAAAAAATTTTTTAATTAGCCGGGAGTGGCGGTGTGTGCCTGTGGTCCCAACTACTCAGGAGGCTGAGGTGGGAGGATCGTTTGAGCCTAGGAGGTGGAGGCTGCAGTGAGTCATGATCACAACACTGTATTCCAGCCTGGATGACAGAGTGAGACTCTGTCTCTGAAAAAAGAAAGAAAGAAAGAAAAGAAACCAAATCTGACCTCAAAAACACAGCCCCAAATCTGGCCTCTGAACGTCCTGACCAGTAGTTCGCTTCTGGTCAATGCTTAACTAGTTCTTGCAAAAGAGGCAGGAAGCCAAGATGTGTAGTGTTTGCCAATTTCTGTGGTGTAAGTATTCCCACCATGGTCAATATGAGGCTACCCATGTGAAGTCACTGATTGAGTTGGGTTGCTCAAGCTGAGGCCAGCCACTGCAGCACACTTCTAGCCCTGACCCCAACCTCAGACACCTCTGACAATCCTTGGTCCCCTCTCTGCACGCCCCCCCCCCACCACCACCAGGTATCCCGGTGCCGGAAATGCCGGAAGCGCTACGAGCCAGTGCCAGCTGACAAGATGTGGGGCCTGGCTGAGTTCCACTGCCCGAAGTGTCGGCACAACTTCCGGTGAGGGCGCTGACCCCCAGCTCCCCCTCAGCCCTGCCCCACCCCAGCCCTGCCCCTCCCTGCCCTGGCCCCACCCTGGCCCAGCCTCGCCCTCGGACCCTCACAGCCCTGCCCGCCCCCAGGGGCTGGGCACAGATGGGGTCCCCGTCCCCCTGCTACGGGTGCGGCTTCCCCGTGTATCCAACACGGATCCTCCCCCCGCGCTGGGACCGGGACCCGGATCGCCGCAGCACCCACACTCACTCCTGCTCGGCCGCCGACTGCTACAACCGGCGAGGTGAGGCTTTTCTCCTCCAACATCCTGGGCAGTCTTTGTCCCCTTCTGTGCCTTTAAGTCCCCAAATCTCCACTCAGTCCACTTCGTCTCCCACAGCAGTAGCCACTGCTTCTACGTGGCCTCCATGGCCCCCCAGTCTCCATGGTCTTGCTCACGAGGCTCTGAGGTTTCACCCCAGTGGCCCATGCCTGAGGGTCTCCATGGCCTCTGCCCCCATGGTCTCTGGGTTTGGGGCCCCTGTTTTGTCCCCTGTAATCTCAGGTGACCCCCATGTCCCCAGGTCTCCTGTATCTTCAACACCCCTGAATGTCCAGTTGTGCTGGTCCCCGTATATTGTGGCCTCAGCTCCTCCCTAGAGCCCCTCGTGGCCTCAGCCCCTCCCTAGAGCCCCTCGTGGCCTCAGGCCCCTCCTGCCCAAACTCTCATGGGACCTGGAGTCCCATGTCTGCAGCACCTCTCCCTCCCTAGAGCCCCACGTGCCTGGGACATCCTGTGCTCACCCCAAGAGCCGGAAGCAGAACCACCTGCCCAAAGTGCTCCACCCCAGCAACCCTCACATTAGCAGTGGCTCCACTGTGGCCACCTGCTTGAGCCAGGGCGGCCTCCTGGAAGACCTGGACAACCTCATCCTGGAGGACCTGAAGGAGGAGGAGGAGGAAGAGGAAGAGGTGGAGGACGAGGAGGGCGGGCCCAGGGAGTGACCCCTGCCAGGTGCAGATACAAACCAGACACGGTCTGTGGCTACTTTGTGTTATTATAAGATATGAGCTCAAACCGAGATATGAATGACCTTGGGGAGCCATCTGGGGCCAAGATATTGACAGGGGGGGATTCCTGGGGCCCATTTTCAGCACCCAGGGTCACAGATCCACAGTGGGAGGTTCTGTGGGACACACTGGCACTGAGCCACAAAGAAGGTGTGGCCAGGACAACTTGAGTTCCTGCTGACCAATGTCCCCTGGGGCCTAGGGGACAGAGGAACAGAGAGTCACAGCTTCAGGGGCCGAATGAGCATGGCGGCCTTCCTGAGAGAGTATGCTCCACCACGAAACTCAGCCCAGTAGACACCATCCTGGTAGCGGCTTCGGTAGTGGCCGCCGCGGTGCCACACACCGTTGAGGTTGGAGTGGGCACAGGCATGGTACCACCAGCCTCCCCGCTGGTACAGGGCACAGTTACCTGAGGGGAGAGAGAAAGTCCATGTCCTCTCACCAGAATAAAAGTCTCTACCTGCACCTCACAGTGCAAGGCTTTTGCCAGGTATCCACTGGCCCCTCCCATTCTTATTTAATACAAGCCCTGATCTTCCATCTCCTCAGCAAAAAAATAGGAGCCCTGGCCCCCCAACTTTCTTCGGAGTAATAGCCTTAATTCCTTCCCTATCTCCTTACCAAAGTACGAGTCACACCTTTCCCACTTTTTCTGCAAACTAGGAGTCTACCACTCATTCCTTTATCAAAGAAAAGAAAATTATCTACTTCCTTTCTAGATAAGAGTACTAGCTCTCACCCTCTGCCCTTCACTTGAACAGGAGTCTTGATTCTTTTTTTGCCTCATCAGAGAAGGAATCTGGACTCCCCATACCCCCACCAGGATAAAAGTCCTGACCTTTGTTCTCTTGACAGAATAAAAGCTTGCTTATCCTAATACTTACCAGAGGGGCGTCTTACCTACCCTGCCTCCTTTCATTCCCTCACCAGAACAGAAGTCCCGCCTCCCCTATCCTCCCACCAGAATAAGAGTTCTCCTTACCAGAATAAGAGTCTCGGTCCCTATCCACGGTGCTGAAGGGCTTGTCATTGTGCCAGGAAAGAGAGTCTCCAGCATCACCATGGTACTGGCCAAGCCGCAGGCGGTAGTGATCGCTCTCAGGTTCCAGGGAGAAGCCATCATAGTGGGCACGTGCTCCACGGCCCCCCCAGTCTTCCAGGAGAACCAGCAGCTCATGGTCCCCACGGCTGGTCAGCTGATACACGGGTTCAAGGCCCAGCCAGTATTCTCCGTCTGGCCGCCCAAAGCCCGCCTGGCAGGGCAGGAAAGTCAGGAAGCCAGAACAGGCTCCCTTCCCTTCCCTGCCTCTGCCCACCTGTGCCCACCTTATAGTGCTGCCAGGTAGTGAAGAAGTTGACTGAACCATCTTGCCTCCGCTGGATCACAGTCCAGCCTCCACCCTCCAGCTGCTGCTCACACCATGCTGACACCACATGCCGGCCCACTCGCAGTTCATACACTCCACTCTGTTCATGGCCTGCCTGGCGGGCCTCTGCACAATCCTGCCATGGGCCTGTGGGCACAGGGATATGTGGGAGGCACAGCCTGGGCTGACCAATCCCTTACTGGAGCAAGAGTCGAGATTCTCACAGGTCCCCTCACCAGAATAAGAGTCCTGCCTCTCCCACTTTTCTATCAGAGTCATGCCTCTCCCATTTCCTCACCAGCATAAGAGGCCTGCCTCTCCCATTTCCTCACTAGAATTTGAGCCCCAGTAGCCATTTCCTTACCTGAGTAAGAATCTGGGTCCCTTGTCTCTAACCAGAGGAAATGCCAAGCCTGGGGTTCGTTCTTTCTTTTTTTTTTTTGAGACAGAGTCTCGCTCTGTCGCCCAGGCTGGAGTGCAGTGGCGTGATCTTGGCTCACTGCAAGCTCTGCCTCCCGGGTTCACGCCATTCTCCTGTCTCAGCCTCCCGAGTAGCTGGGACCACAGGTGCCCGCCACCATGCCCAGATAATTTTTTGTATTTTTAGTAGAGACGGGGTTTCACCGTGTTAGCCAGGATGGTCTCGATCTCCTGACCTCATGATCTGCCCGCCTCGGCCTCCCAAAGTGTTCGGATTACGGGCATGAGCCACCGCGCCGGGCCAAGTCTGGGGTTCTTAAACCCTGGTTTTTATGGTCTCCTCACCAGAATATAAGTCCTGAATATGGTACTCTGAACCAGTTCAAACTCTTACCAAAGTAGCAGTCCTAAATCTACAATCGCCTCACTAAAATAAGAGTCCCTCCTCTTCTATTTCTTGTTTCTCCTATTTTCACACCTTAGAAGTTTGGTCTTATTTTTAATCAGAATCATTTCTTCCGGTCCTCTCACGATAAGAGAAATATGCCACTAAAATCCTGACTCCTCAATTTGCCTCTACCCACAATTCCTCAGCCCTGCTGTCGACTTACCCACAGGCTTGGTGGGGACAGCAGGTTGACCTGCAGGGATGGGAGAACCCAGGGGCTCCTGCTGTCTCTGGGTCTGGTCTCTCTGGGGCTCTGGGACTGGGTCCAGCATCCTACTGGTGTCATTGGTGCTACCCACAAGACGGACCGGAACCACAGGCACCAGTGGGGGTGGTGGCAGGACCTGGGGTGACGGAGAAAGTCAGGTGTTATTACACTAACCCTCAGGCCAGGAGGCCTGGTCTCAGGGGCACAGATGGTGGATAAATCTCCCAGCTCCCAAATGACCTGGACATCTGGCAGTGGGGGTATCCCAGCCCCAGGAATAATCCTCCCCAAAAGCTAAACAACTTGGCTTTAAAGTGCAGACAGGCTGTGTGCGACGGCCCACGCCTGTAATCCCAGTACTTTGGGAGGCCGAGGCGGGCAGATCACCTGAGGTCAGTAGTTCGAGACCAGCCTGACCAACATGGTGAAACCCTGTCTCTACTAAAAGTACAAAAAAAAAAATTAACTGAGTGTGGTGGCTCATGCCTGTAATGCCAGCCACTCAGAAGGTTGAGGTAGGAGGATCGCTTGAACCTGGGAAGTGGAGGCTGCAGTGAGCCAAGATCACACCACTGCACTCCAGCCTGGGAGACAGAGCAAGACTCTATCTCAAAAATAAAATTAAAAAAATAAAGTGCAGACAGAGCTGGGCTTAAATACCGGTTCTTGGTGCTCACGGCTTAATTGATCTGTGCCCCAGCCTCCTCCTCTGTAAAGTAGGCATAATAAGAACACATCCAACAGTATCTTAACTTACTGACTCCTCTCACCAACCCTGTAAGGTAGGGACTGTCACAGAGCAACATTCTCTTATCCCAAACCCAGACCCGGACACGTTCCAGAATTCAGAATAACACGGCTGGATTTAGACACAGTGACATAGGGAGGGTTATGTATATGCATGTGCGTACAGAATATACATAACACTCCTAAAGGGGTTTTTGGTCTTTACGTGATAATGATATGCTTAATTATAGGATCCTATGACTATTCACATTAAGTGGATAAGTAAAGGCTATAAATAGCCACCAGTCACTTTTTGACCCAAATAAGTTACCAGAAGGGGCGAGTAGCAATCCGGTTTTCAGGGTTTTGCGGATCTCGGAACTGTGGATTGGGGTTGCAAAACGCCCATTTCACAGAAGATGCTGCTATCCGGGGAGGCTGCGAGGTTACCTGCTGCTGCCCGCCCGCGCCTCCCGGGCACAGGCGCTCCAGGCGGGCGATGAGACTGCTCTGCTGGGTGACAAGCTGCGCCAGCTCGCGAAACTTGACGTCCAGCTGGTGGAAGCGGGCGGCGGCGCGCTGAGCCTCGGCGGACGCGTTGAGCACGCGCTCCCCAAGCAGCGCC